TCATATTTATGTCAATATCCAGGTTTTAACATAATACCATAGTTTTGCAAGATGTTACCAATGGGGAAAAGTGAGTAGAGGGTACCTGGGATCTCTCGGTATTATTTCCTACAACTGCATATGAATATATGATTATCTCAAAATAAAAAGCTTTTCTTTTGAAGTTAATATTAAGTTGCTAAAGAGAGGGTCTTCTTACCAAATATTTCAATGTCCTGACCTAAATAATTCACAGATTTTTTTTTCTTATTTTTTCCCTTACTCATCTATCTGGTTCATGTATGCATAGATTTAAAAATAATAAAAAAAGGAAATGACACAAATAACAAAGGTTCTCTCTGTTCCACTCCTGGCTGTATGTAGAAGATTATCAAATATCTAGATACATTTACTTACAGACTGCTGGTGGCTTCTGACATTGAATTTGTCATGACTTTTCCTGAACTGTGGCTTAGCTGATATGACCCTACAACTCCCTCTTCTCCAGGCAAGCCAAGAAGGCCTAGGATGGATGTAAAGGCTTCAGACTGTTGAAATGGATATAAAAATTCTGGATTCCTCTTTTAAAAAGAGGCATGGGTTTTATCTCTCTTTCTTTCTCAACATCATGAAAGGGAAGAAATCTGGCTATTATTTACTCAGTTGTTTAATGTACTTTGGGAGACAAATTTAATAAATGAAAACATTCTCTGAGGGTCCCTGTAACCAATGAATACAAGGTTACATTTTGATTCATGTGTATTCATTATGCAACACTAAACAATAGTAGCAAAAGGAGAATTGTGGACTCAAGTTAGAACTTCACTATTTTTATCCCAAATATCATGATTAGAAAATTAAGAAAAAAAAACCCACTTTGAGAAATAATCTCTGTGAAGTCAAAAGCCAGAAGAGTCTCCATGGTTCTCTGCCTCTGTGGCAAGCAGATAGAAGGAGAGGCACCCATAGTGGAAGGACTGCAGCCTTCCTTTCCTCCATTTGTTGTCTATTTGTGTTTATGTGAATTTGCAGAGCAATTTAGAATATGTTCATTTTTGAAGATGTTCCAAAAGACATTAAAAAAAGCTGAAAACAATCCTGAAGACATTAATAAAGACAGTACAATCACTACTTCAATGTAACAGCGCTTCAGGTTTCTCCAAGAACTTCCACAGCTGTCACTCTTTTCATTTGATCTCTATTTGACCTCTTTTGTTGCTTGAAAAAAGTTTGTGCCATACATAGTCTCTTATATATTCATAAGACAATATTCTCAGCTACATCAAAGACACACTTGACTGTTATTTGACACTATTCCTCTTAACCTTTAGTAATATCCAATCTTACTCTCCACCAATTTTCATGAACAATTTAGCCCAAAAATCCATGACTACAGAGAACTTCAGTTGAAACAAATAAATGTCATCAATTTTTTCAAATTGCATGGCGAACTTTGAACAGCTTTTAGCACACTAATTGAGAATTTTTGCCTTTAACATTTATAATATGAAATAAGTGCTCAACTATTTTTATCTTGTTTGGATTTCCTTTGATTCTAATTTGATGAATTTTATTTATCTCAGATGTATATAAAAATGTGCCTTAACCTAATAAAGAAGAGATATCTAATTTAGAAGATCTGATAAAGAAAATTTGTTATTCAGTCGCTCAGTCATGTCCAACTCTCTGTGACCCCATGAACTGCAGCATCCCAGGCTTCCCTGTCCTTCACCATCTCCCGGAGCTTACTCAAACTCATGTCCATCGAGTCAGTGATGCCATCCAACAATCTCGTTCTCTGTTGCCCCCATCTCCTCCTGTCATCAATCTTTCCCAGCATCAGGGTCTTTTCTAATGAGTAGGCTCTTTGCATCAGGTGGCCAGAGTATGAACAGAGTCATCTCCTAGATAGGTCGATAAGAAGTCTAGGGTTCCTGAGTAGGAGAAAGGGGTCCAGAGCCCTCAAGAAGGAGAAAGAGGTCTGGGGCTCTCAAGGAGAAAAGGACAAATGTTCTTTTCTACATTTCTTTGTCTTAGTCAATATAACAATGTATCTTGCTTAAGGACATGTTTCTCCTTAACAAGAACTTTCTGACTAATCCTGTCATCTTAAAATGTATATTATGGAAGTGGGTCTGGTAAGATCTTTCTATTGTTCATTCTAATCTTGTTAATTTAAGATGTATGTTGTGGAAGTGGGTCTGAAAAAAATATATATAAGGCCTTGATAAGACTAGCTTGAGGGCATTCTCTGTCCCCCTTCTGATATCCATGTCAGAAACTTTCTCTTTGTCTTTTCTTATTTTAATAAAACTCTGCTACACAAAAGCTCTTGAGTGATCAAGTCTGGTTCCTGGTCCCAAAACTACATCTTCTTTGGAGATCATGAATCCAACATCATTCACCGTAAGCTATCAGTACTGGCGCTTCAGCTTCAGCATGAATTCTTCCAATGAATAACCAGGGTTGATTTCCTTTAGGATTGACTGGTTGGATCTCCTTGCAATCCAAGGGACTTGCAAGAGTCATCTCCAACACCACAGTTCAAAAGCATTAGTTCTTCAGTGTTCAGCTTTCTTTATGGCCCAGCTATCACATTCATGCATGACTACTGGAAAAACCATAGCTTTGACTATACAGAATTTTGTCAGCAAAGTAATGTCTTTGCTTTTTAATATACTTTCTATGCTAATGTCCAAATAAAGGCATAAGGTTTGAGAAAGTGATAGTACTTAGATAAATGAAAATTGTCCTTCTGAATTTTCCACAATTGCAGTTTAAGCAAGATTAAGTTTATTTACAGTATTCATTATACTTTGTCTCTAGATACCGAATAGAGTCAATCCTCTGCTGCACTCATCATCTCTGGCAACTCTGTCACCTGAGATAATAACCCACCGATTTGTGACAGTGAGTTAAATATTCTTGTCTGTTACTTTACCAATAGATTCTCAATTTCTCCCTGGAGTTATAAAAAAAAATCTTAATTGATTTTTTGCATCCTGTCATTCAGATAGCTGAATATAGTTATAATGGTCTCAGAAATACATGTGAGGTCCTGGCAACTGTTTTTTAAAGTACTTCTTTATTCTGGATTGTGCCTTTCTGAACCTAGGGACTTAAATGCATAAAAGCCTTCAAATTTCATTTTCACATCAATTAATTTGAAATTATATTGGTTCTGCCAATCCCAGTATAATAACCACTCTGTATAGAAAATTAGTAAAAAATTTTAAACTTATACTCTTCAAGGCTGATGAAGCTATGGAGCAGTTTGCTTTCATGTACCAAAGGTTAAACACACTTTATTGAAAGTCATAATGTAATATAAGCCTCAAAAATGAGCTTATATTTTGACCTGCTACATACAATTTATGTTGTTGTTCAGTCACTAAGCTGTGTCTGGCTCTTTGTGACCACATGGACTGCAGCCCACTAGGCTTCCCTCTCCTTCACTATCTTCCAGAGTTTGCTAAAATTCATGTCCATTTAGTTGGTGATGCTATCTATATAACTATCTCATCCTTTTATAAGATTCTTTGCAGCCCTTTTAGACTATAGTCTGCCAGGCTACTCTGTCCATGGGATTTTTCAGGCAAGAATATTGGAGTGTGTTACCATTTCCTCCTCCAAGGGATCTTCCTGACTTAGGGATTGAACCCATGTCCACTGTGTCTCCTGCATTGCAGATGGTTTCTTTACCCTCTGAACCATCAGGGGCCCTAGAATTTATACTTAGGAAGTAAAGCAGATTGTAAATTTTTATTGCAGTATACATTATAATGGCAAACACATTAAACTAACCTAAATGCATTGCATGGTTCAAATTATGGTTTGGAAATAGCCTACTGGAAGGAAAGAGCCTTATTAAAAATGACTACAGAGAGTTCCCTAAGAAACAGTAAAATACCCATGCATAATTAGAAGAAATACCTCCATACATTGGAATTTTATTCAGTCATAACAGGATATCATGAAGAAACGCTTAGTAATATTAAGATGACTATTATATAAAAATAGTATATCTAGACCTATTTTCATATTTTCATCTCTACAGTTTTGTAACTTTTTCTATATCCAACCCTGGCAAATGGCTTTAAGCCTCCTTGATGAAGGGTAGTGAGGAAACTTTTTTTTTTTCCCCTTCCTCCTCCAGCTTTATTGGATAGTTTAAAATTACTTTTCTATTTTCTAGGACTTCAGTTGCTTTTTCCATCTGACTTTTAAAAACTGATTACAACAAATGAAACACAGTTGTCTAAGTGATATAGTATACAAAAATAACATCTTGATTTCTGTGAAAATGCATTTCTCTGCAATTCCTGAATAGCTCCAAATTATGCTAACTCTGAGCATAGATGTTTTACTCTGGGTTGTAGATTTAGTCTTTGAAAACGTGTGTTCTACACCATTGCCATCACCGTCTATTTACCCAGCGTCGATGCTGTGGTGAGGCTGCTCCTGCTCAGGCTTTTATCCCGTGTTCTCGCACAACCATCAACACGCATGTTTGTCTTTTTATTTTGTTTACTCCCACTCAACTGTATGTTCTATGTAGGGCCTGATACAGATGTTACTTGATGTTATTTAATAGCTACTGAGGTCAGACAATCCAAGGCAGTCATTATGCTAAAATTAAAGTTATTTATGGAAGCTCACAGACACTTCCAGGATTGGTTTTACCTCCTACATGGGAACATATTCGAGAAACCCAGAACGGGCTTCCTGGTCTGACTCAACTCTTCCCATTCATCAATCCCTATTCACCAGTGGCGCGGAAAGGGGGTTCTTTAACAAAGCATTATACATTAACACCTCTACCAAACTAAACATAAACTTTTTTTTGTAGTTAAATGCAGAAAGTAAATTTTTTTTTCCCACCCCTTTCCTCCTTTTACACGGCAAGTAAAGCTCACTGGCCTGGGAGTAGCCTCTATCTGCCAACCTTTGGCCAGTGAAGAGGATTCAGAGAAAATAATACAACCATCAATCAGAAAAGGAGGGGCGACAAAGGAAAGTAATTAAGCTGTGGCCTCGATCGTGCATTCCCGTGCCAGGTACCCCGACTCGCCACAGCGGTAACAGTTGACTTCACTCGTCTTGCTGCAGTTGATGGCTACGTGACCAGTCTCGCCACACCGGTAGCGCTTCCCTTTGGTGCCGTCTTTCTGGATGTGCCCGAACTCGCCGCAGGAGTAGCACTTCTGCTCGTCCGCGTGGTCGCAGTCGCGGGCCAGGTGGCCGGGCTTGCCGCAGTTGTAGCAGCACTGCTCCCGCTCCCGCTTGGGCTCCTTGCAGTCCTTGGCGATGTGGCCGCCTCGGCCGCAGTTATAGCAGGCATCCCCCTGAAGGTCACAGTCCTTGGCAAGGTGACCAGACTCACCACAGCTGTAACAGATGTCTGGAAGAGACGAGGAAACAAACTGGAAACCTCTATCCGAGGTAAAACCACCTCTGCCACGGCTTCTCATCCCAGGACCGCGGCCCCCGCCAGCGGGGCACTCCCGGGCCCAGTGGCCAGACCGTCCACACTTGAAGCACTCATTGCTGCTCATGGCTGCAGTCAGATCTTCCGCGTCGCAGGGGCCCGCAGCGGCCGAGACTCAGGCGCCGACCGGGAGGACGGCTCGCGAAGCCGCGGCTGTTTATTTTCAGGGTCCCTGCCTGCGCCACACGCGGGTCTGCACACGGCCCCGCACACGCCGCTGCGCACGGCTCGCCGCCGCCGGTAGTGAGGAAACTTGACAGTACACATTTTGGCTGTGTAGCTCATACTTCCTCAAGAAGAGCTAGTCAGTCTCCCATTTATTGAAGCTGCTCTAGGTCTCTACATTGGTTCTCAAGTCATAGAAGTGTTTGATAAATAACGAGCACTTTCTTTTGTGCTGATTCAATCAGACTTCTGTTCACTACATTTAGATCTTCTCTAAAGCTCCAGTACTTTGACCACCTGATACAAAGAGCTGACACATTGGAAAAGACCCTGATGCTGGGGAAGATTGAGGGCAGGAGGCGAAGGGGGTGACAGAAGATGAGGTGGTTGGATGGCATCACTTCCTTAATGGCCATAAGTTAGAGCAAACGTCAGGAAATAGTAAAGAACAGGGAAGCGTGGCATGCTGTAGTCCATGGGCTCAGACAGGACTTATTGACTGAACAACAGCACAATCTTCTCTGCTCATACGAATCAAATAACACTTTAGACCACTACACATCTGCTTCAGTTTTAGAGTTTCCATGATCAATTAGCCATGCAAAGATCTTTGCAGAAAAATCATTCTGATTTCTGTTTCAATTGTCTCTGGTAGCTAAGTGCTACTACTTGACCTCTGTGATCCTGAAGTCCATTTATCTCCATTCAGAGAACCTCATTTAATAGCTACCATTCCCACTGTCATTCCTGTCCTACAGAGAATAGCCAGCACAGAGTTCCTCAAGAATGCTGAAACTTCTACATAAATGTGTTTCCTAAAGCCTTGGATAAAAGATCTCACTTTCAACCTATGTGCACCATGGAGATAGGGAGTAGACAGACAGATCTCCATGGGGTCGCAAAGAGTCGGGCACAACTGAGCAACTAAGTGCACACACGCAAGTGATAAATCCACTCAGGCATTCCTAAGTCCCCACGCTGCAGGATGTCTTCCTCTGCAGTACAATGATAAAGTCCCGGCATTTCAGTTTCATTCTGTTAGGCCACATTCAAGCTAACATATTAAATTCGGAATCTCAATTCTTTTGGTGTATTTTGTTCTTCTCACAAGTCATAAGCGTTATTTCCCCTACTCTCCCTGGTCCTACCAGTGCTCAAGTCTGGTTAAAGGACTAGAAACAGTGTAAGGAGGTAGTAGGTTCTGAGGAAAATTAGCAGTCCTTGCAATTTGGGTTGCCAGAGTTAGTACATAAAAATACAAGATGCCCAGTTAAATTTGAATTCAGAGATGCAACAGATATTTCTATAGTATAAATATGTGCCATGCAATATTTGGGATATAATTTATACTTAGAAAATTTTCATTATTTTTTCTGAAACTCAGATTTAACTGAGGATTCTGATTCCATGGCAATACTTCTTCAGGAAAGAGGAAGCGTCTCTCTTTAGACCAAGGAGGCATGGCTGATCCTTCTAGCAAAGGAGGCTCAGTAGAATTTCCAGGTTCAAGGTGTTCAGTTTAATTAGAATTTTTCCATATATCTCCATCTCAATTTTCAGTCAGCCCTTCTTCTTCTAATCAATGACCAAACTTTAGTATAACACACTCTGTGAAGCTGTGAATTCAATTTGTGTTGCAATTCACTCCCAGTATTATGTAGTGTATTTGGTTTTCAAAAATCTTGGTCCTGTGGCTACAGGATACAAGTGTTTCTTTTAGGGTAGATAGAGAAGCTTTCCTATCCAAACCTTGAGAATAATTGAAAGCTTTATAACTCACCATTTTCTTTCTCTTAAGTTCTCTGATGCACTTAGAAGGAAGCAACCAATCCCATTATATGCCTTCCCTCAAATGTTCTAGGACAACAGCCACTTGGTCACCCCAAATCTTGATTCTATTGATTATAGGTGTCAGTGGTTGTTGACTGAAATGATTTCCCCCTACACTCCATAAACTACCTGTGTGCCTTTTTCTTGGGCAGCTTTAATTCCTTTAAACCTAATCGTATCAAAGAACCAATCCCAGACTCTGCTGTTACTCTGGGATAAATTTTGGTTGAAATATGAAAGTAGAACTATTATCCTTATTATGTATTAAGAGATTTTATTATGGAATTAAACTTTATGCAGTTGCATGAAGAGTTGGTCTAAAAAGATTAGAGAAGTCACTAACCAGCTGTCTTGGAGTTGAAGCTTTTAGCAAACTAAGCACATCTGACAGCTGGGATAGACCTTTGAAGAGAGCTGGTGTAGAAATCTATGAAATTTTTGGTTTTTCTTGATTATTGCTTCTGTAAGCTCACAGTGAAACAACTGAGAGTGGGATGGAATCACTGTAGGTAAACAGGACAGCAGTTGAAGTGAACTGGGTGTAGAAATAAGGAGAGGAAGAACAAATGGGAACCTGACCATTTGTTCTGTTCATTTATCCCCTTGCCTCATCTGACCAAGAATGACCTTCAGAGTGGAATGACTGTTGCTTCATTTCTGCCTCAGAATTTCAGGCTGACTTCTCAAGCTCTAACCCTAGAGCTTCCAGAGCTTCTAGAACCTTCCAGGCAAAGTAAGTTTGGGAAAACCAGCTCCAGTTTGGCCTGAATGACATTGTAGAAAAACACTAGATAACTGTATGTTTCTTATTTCCCTCCCTCCTCTTACTCCTACGTCTTTCTTCTCTTTCTCTGTCCCTTCCTTTCTTGCTCTTTCTTTCTATTTTGCTGTTGCTTTCCTTTCTTTCTTTCTTTGTTTTTTAAATTTTTTTGCCATGTCACATGGCTTCCAGGATCTTAGTTCTCCAACCAGGGATTGGACCTGGTCTCATGTCAGTGAAAGCACTTAGCCCTAACCACTGGATGTCAGGGAACTTCCCTCCTTTCTTTCTTTCTTCCTTTTCTCTCTCTCTTTCTTCTGTTAGGTTGTTAGAATAGGAAACGGGAGTCCAAAATGGCGGTGGCTAAAAGACAAGGAAGGGAAAAGCCCGCGAAAATAGAACAAAGGAAGGTCAAAGGAAGGTCCGAGGGCCAGAGTGAAGACCTCAGGTAGAGCAAACGGCACTCCTGGCTAGCCCAATTTGCATAGGGCAGGCTGGGGGGAGGAAAAACATATAAAAGGAGGAGCCAAAGCACTCTCTCTTTCTCTCTCCCCCTCTCTCCCACATGCGTGTGCTCTTTCTCTCTCTCCCCCTTCCTCTCCCCCCTGCCCCCATCTCTCTCTCTCCCTCCTGCACGCTGGCACGCTCCTTCACTCTCCTCTCTTCATGTCTTTGGGTCGGCATGCCCTCACGCTTCGAGGATGGATTCTCCTGCTATCTTCTAAATAAAATAGAGCTGTAACACTGATTTGTCTAAGAGCTACAACACGGTTTGTTCAAGACCCGAGAGCTGTGACGCACCGAGGACTCTAATGTCCGTCGCTCCAAATCTTTGTTGTGATGAGACAGAACCAAGGAGCATACACTCGCTTGACAGTTCCCTTCCCTTCCTTTTGTCCCTTCTTCCCCACCATTCTTTTTCTTTCTCTCTGTCTCCTTCCTCTCTCTCTTCCTTTCTTTCTCTCTTTTACTAGGTAGGACTACTAGTATGTCTCACACTGATGGAATCCTTGTCTTGTTCCTCATCTCAAAGGGAAAAATTCAATCAAATAATTCATTATTAATCTGATATTTGTTGTAGACTGTTTGTAAATAGCCATTTTCAGATTAAGAAAGTTCCTTTATATTTTACATTTTTCATTGCTAAGAATTTTTGAAAAAAGTGATTCAAATTCCAATTTTACATTCTTGAAATAAATCAACTTGGTCATAAAATTTTATAATTTTTATTTGTTGTTTAATATGTTTTTGTAACACATTTTATATATATTTGAGGTACAATTCACATTAAAAAAGCCTTTTAAAGTATAGAGTTCAATGATTTTTAGTAAAATCACATTTGTGTAACCAGCAACATTAATTTTAGAACACTTTTATTACTCTATCCTTAATATCTTTTAGAGAGATTAGACTGTAATTTTCTTTCCTGTAATTTTTTATATCATATTTCAGTATTAAACTTATGATAATCTCATAAAACCATCTGGTAATGTCCCATGTATTTGTTTTCCTGTAGAATTTAGGTGAGATTGGCATTACTTCTCTTTTAGATGTTTGAAAGAATTAACCCATGAAGCCATGTGGCCTGGAATTTACTTTGTTATATGATCTCCCCCCCCCCATTTTTTTTACACTATGTAGACTTTTTATTGAAGTTTAACACATATAAAGTAAGGCATACAATATTTTTTCTTCTCTTTTATTTATTTATATTGCTTGGAGACTAATTACTTTACAATATTGTAGTGGTTTTTGCCGTACATTGATATGAATCAGCCATGGATTTACATGTGTTCCCCATCCAGAACCCCCCTCCCACCTTCCTCCCCATCTCATCCCTCTGGGTCATCCTAGTTCACCAGCCCTGAGCACTTGTCTCATGCATCCAACCTGGACTGGCAATCTGTTTCACAATTGATAATATACATGTTTTGATGCTGTTCTCTCAGATCATCCCACCCTCGCCTCCTCCCACAGAGTCCAAAAGTTTGTTCTATACATCTGTGTCTCTTTTTCTGTCTTGCATATAGGGTTATCATTACCATCTTTCTAAATTCCATATATATGCATTAGTATACTGTACTGTGTTGGATGGCATCACCGACTCAATGGACATGGGTTTGACTAAATTCTGGGAGTTGGTGATGGACAGGGAGACCTGGCGTGCTGTGATTCATAGGGTCACAAAGAGTCAGACACGACTGAGTGACTGAACTGATACTGTATTGGTGGTTTTCTTTCTGGCTTACTTCACTTTGTATAATAGGTTCCAGTTTCATCCACCTCATTAGAACTGATTCAAATGTATTCTT